TCGAACGAGATCGATCCAGACCCTCTTGATGTAATTGAACCTATCTGGGACACACTATCTTCTGGCTTTACATCAAAAACAGATGCCTTTCTGCTAAAGGTGGTCTTAATTTACACATGTGTTGTTCTACTTGTTGCTGGAATACCTTACAAATGGAATTGTATTTCCCAAACCAATCAGCATAATCACTTTCCTTTTCATGTTCAGAAAGCAGGTCATAATATGAATTATTACAAGCAATAAATTCATCATATAATTTCAACCAGTCGTCATATTGTAACTTAATTGTCTGCACATCTTCACCTATTTCTATCATATGAGAAATCTGTTCTAATTTCTTATCTAGCTGCACTGATAACAGTCTTCTGTTCTTTGACTTAATGTCGCTATTATATTCCATTCCTTTACTTGTATACCTTTGTTCTCTTTTACCTTTATCCTCGAGCATGCCACTACTCACTCCTTCGTCTTGAGGGGTAGTCATCTTTGTAAATCTCAGTTATTGTCTTCTATCAAATGTTGATACACATCAATCCAACTTAGGCACCAAAGCCAGTTTGTTAATGCAAATGAAGTGGCTGGATGCTATATCTATTAAGTAAGGTGTCTTATAACATCAACCATCCTGGTATCCCTGGGTAGTGCTCATCGTCAATAAGGCTACAACCAATTGAACTTAAACAATGTGGATCTTTTATTCAATCCTAATCTAAATAACTCATCACATCAATAATTCAACATACAATTGGCAACGGCCCATTAGCCCATTAACTGTAAGAAACAAATACAGGATTTTTAATATAATGTCCTGTTCGTTGACGTTCATTAAACTAACTAAAGCAGACAACTTCACAATGTTGTCTCTAAATATATAGCAAACAACAAAATTCAATAAACATAACATGTTTCACGTTTAATAAATCACAAACCATATTATCTACTTCGTATCTACCTCAGGGCCAGCATTAATGCTGTTTAATACGTTAACTCCCTGAATATCCTTTGTCAATCATAGAAATGATAAAACTATCGTAAATTCTTGTACAAAAATAAGTGTCTTATTGATAAGTGTTGCGTAGTATCTAAAAATAGACTGCAAAAACACATGGTTTTCTCACTGAAAAAGTGTCAATACAAACATAAAATATTTCTAATCTTACCAAACTGATCGGCTAACCCGGGGAATTACACTGATTCTTGGAACTCAATCGCTTCTATTTGTGTCACTTTAACGCTGAGATTCCATCTATTTGAGTCAAAAATACATCAACCTTCGACAGCGTTGTCTTTCCAATGATAACTCTTCAAATCTAAGATGGCCGACAAAAACGAAAGTATTGCCACTAGACGGCGCAAGTCACAGAACTGGTTATACAATACAATACAATACATTTACGTGAGATTTGGATAAAGCATATGACCATCTCGCATTTGGCCACTACATACCGGCCCTCTAATTGTTGAAAATCAAATTTGAAACAATTACCAACACCTTATATAACAAGGACAAATGCTTACAACATATCTAACATACCATAGTTACTGCATGCAAAAAACTTTAACAATATTTAGCTGTCATCAGCTTCAAGAATCATACAAAGTTTATCTACTGGTCTTACAAAAGTATTAAATCTTGTTTTAACCTTAACCACTCTAACTAGCCCTTTATAATCTCTCATAATCTCAATGACCTTGGCTAAAGGCCAGGAATTTCTTGGCTGTTTGCCATCTACGATCAAAACAATATCTCCAATTTTTAAGTTTCGCTGAGGCTTCATCCATTTTTGCCTCTCTTGGAGCATGGGTAAATACTCTCTTGTCCAACGTCGCCAAAATATATTAGCCAAATATTGGACTTGTTTCCAACGTCGCTGACCATAATTGTCTGTCTCATTGAAGACACCTGGAGACATCCTCTGGTCTGTCTGTAGCTTCAACAGATGATTTGGGGTTAAGGCTAACAGATCATTAGGATCCACTGAAACTTTGGTAATAGGTCTACTATTTACTATATCCTCTATTTCACAGAATAGCATATGTAATGCTTCATCGTCTAAATGAATGGTCTGTTCCTTCAACAATGAGAATAGAATCTTGCGTATAGTACGGATCTGGCGTTCCCAGACACCACCGAAATGAGAAGCAGAAGGTGGATTGAACTGCCAGATTATGTTCTTCTGCCTCACTGCTTGTTCTATTTTGGTATGGTTCCAATCATTAATTGCTTGACGAAGTTCTCGTTCTGCACCAATAAAATTTGTACCATTATCTGAGCGTAAAACCTTGGCGCCACCTCTTCTTGCTATGAACTTTCTCACTGCATTTATGCACGAGTCAGTGTCTAAAGACTGCGCTACTTCTATATGTATAGCCCTTATGTTCAAGCATGTAAATAATACACCATAACGTTTAATTATAGGTCTACATCGTTTCACGAAGATAGGTCCAAAGTAGTCTACTCCTGTGTTCGTAAATGGTGGTTCATCAGCTGTGAGTCGCTCTCTTGGCAGATCTGCCATCATTTGTTCACCTGTTTTTGCTCTGTAATGTCGACAAATAACACATTTAGATATGATCTGTCTTGCAGCAGCATTAGCTTGACGAATCCAATACCTTTGTCTTAAAGTAGCTAACATGAGATTTCTCCCCATATGTCCTACATCTTTATGTATTTGTTGTAGAATCAGATTTGATACAGGCGACTCTTTAGGAAGGACTACTGGATGTTTGACATCATATAAAAGTTCAGCTTTACCTAAACGACCTCCGATTCTCAAAAGTCCACCACTCATCACTGGATTCAATTTGCAAAGTTTACTAGACTTGCTAACCACTTGATCCTTTTGCAAAGCGATGATCTCTCTAGAGAAATGCTGTTGCTGAACGTATCTGATCACGGCTCTCTCTGCCAATTCCATAGTATCTACAGGCAATACTTCATGTTTCAATTTTTCTTTAGATTGAGACCTAGCCTTTAACTTCAATTCTTTCATTCTTTCCTCACCTGAAATCTTTCCTTTGTTTGTACCTCCCTGTCTCAAACTCTCTTCTAGGCTTTTGCGCTCAGAGACCCATGACTGCAGGTTCTTAATACCAATCAAAATCCATCCTACTATTTCCTTCAATTCCTCCCAACTAGATGCATATGACAAAAGCCTATCCATAATATCTGCTGAGCCTTGGCATGTCACTGCTGCAACTGGATTTCTTTTGACTTCAGGGTCATCTTCCGCAATGGGCCATCCCAGTTTATATCTGCACCCCCCCTGTTGATGAGTTTGTGTGTTTACTTCATACAGGGTATAATTTCCATGGGTGTATAAGTCATACAAAGTTTTATTTCCAAATCACCATTCACCATACAGTAATGGAAATCCAAAACTATAGGTCCTACTTATGGTGTTGATGAGTTCCTTTGTGACACCATACAGAGTAGGATTTCCAAATATAACTCTCATCATATGCTAATTTACCAAGTTCAAAATTTTATATCTGATAATGGAAATCCAAACTAGTCCTGATTCACGGTGTTGATGAGCTCATTCGTCCCACCATCATTATCTAATTTCAGAAATAACTATTTCATACTGGCCCAATACAGTCAGAAATCCAAGTTTTTTCAGTCATACAGTGTTGGAAATCCAACCTCATCAACCGGTATGTGGTGAGATAAACTAGGTCATATTTAATTTAGTAGCCATAACTGCCTGGATTTCCAGAATTTTTTTTTCCATACTCGTCTGGATTTCCAGATTCTGTTTCTCCATATACAGTTGGAAATCCGGGGTAATTTCCCCATCATACAGTGCTGGAAATCTGACCTCATCAACAGGGGGGGTGCAGATATAAACTGGAATGGCCCAATGCAGTAAAACTCCACTACTTCAATAACTAGATACTTAAACTCCAATACAATTCAACGAGATCTCCGATCTGATCTCAGTGCTGAACAACTCCCCTATATATACCCACACTGTCTATAAATAGACCATTACATCACCATACATAATGAGTCTGGAACTTACTACAAATTTCTAGAATGTTCCATTACTTTCTATTGCCTCCTACAGTGTTCTATTACCTATTCAACCAGTTTCTAAAAATTCCACCCAGA